TGCTATACACATATAAGGAAAATCAATGACCCCCCCCCCCCCCGGGCGGGGCCAGTTTTGACCCCAGGGCTTTTATTTGAACATACTTGGTAGACACCCATTAGAAAATGTTTCATGCTAAATATCTTAGCTCTAGCTCTTTGAGTTCTTTAAAAGAAGATTTTTTAAGTTTTTACTAAATGCAAATAGGGAAAATCAATGACCCCCGGGGCGGGGCCAATTTTGACCCCAGAGCTTTTATTTGAACAAACTTGGTAGACACTCATTAGAAGATGTTTCATGCTAAATATCTGAGCTCTAGCTCTTTGGATTCTTTAAAAGAAGATTTTTTAAGTTTTTACTATATGCATATAGGGAAAATCTATGACCCCCTGGGGCAGGGTCAATTTTGACCCCAGGGCTTTTATTTGAACAAACTTGGTAGACATTCATTAGCAGATGTTTCATGCCAAATATCTAAGCTCTAGCTCTTATGGTTCTTTAAAAGAAGATTTTTTAAGTTTTTACCATATGCATATAGGGAAAATCAATGACCCCCGGGCGGGGCCAATTTTGACCCCAGGGCTTTAATTTGAACAAACTTGGTAGACACTCACTAGAAGATGTTTCATGCTTAATATCTTAGCTCTAGCTCTTTGGGTTCTTTAAAAGAAATTTTTTTAAGTTTTTACTATATGCATATAGGGAAAATCTATGACCCCCTGGAGCGGGGTCAATTTTGACCCCAGGGCTTTTATTTGAACAAACTTGGTAGACATTCACTAGAAGATGTTTCATGCCAAATATCTAAGCTCTAGCTCTTATGGTTCTTTAAAAGAAGATTTTTTAAGTTTTTACCATATGCATATAGGGAAAATCAATGACCCCCGGGGCGGGGCCAATTTTGACCCAAGGGCTTTAATTTGAACAAACTTGGTAGACACTCACTAGAAGATGTTTCATGCTTAATATCTTAGCTCTAGCTCTTTGGGTTCTTTAAAAAAAGATTTTTAAAGTTTTTACTATATGCATATAGGGAAAATCAATTACCCCCTGGGTCGGGGCCAATTTTGACCCCAGGGCTTTTATTTGAACCAACTTGGTAGACATTCACTAGAAGATGTTTCATGCCAAATATCTAAGCTCTAGCTCTTATGGTTCTTTAAAAGAAGATTTTTTAAGTTTTTACTATATGCATATAGGGAAAATCAATGACCCCCGGGGCGGGGCCAATTTTGACCCCAGGGCTTTAATTTGAACAAACTTGGTAGACACTAACTAGAAGATGTTTCATGCTTAATATCTTAGCTCTAGCTCTTTGGGTTCTTTAAAAGAAGATTTTTAAAGTTTTTACTATATGCATATAGGGAAAATCAATTACCCCCTGGGTCGGGGCCAATTTTGACCCCAGGGCTTTTATTTGAACAAACTTGGTAGACATTCATTAGAAGATGTTTCATGCCAAATATCTAAGCTCTAGCTCTTACGTTTCTTTAAAAGAAGATTTTTTAAGTTTTTACTATATGCATATAGGGAAAATCAATGACCCCCAGGGGCGGGGCCAATTTTGACCCCAGGGCTTTTATTTGAACAAACTTGGTAGACACTCACTAGAAGATGTTTCATGCCAAATATCTAAGCTCTAGCTCTTATGGTTTTTTAAAAGAAGATATTTAAAGTTTTTTCTTTTGGTTGCCATGGCAACCAGAGTTCTGCATGGAATTAAATTCTTTGAACAATTTTTAAAGGTGACCACCAAAGGAACATTCCTGTGAAGTTTGGATGAAATTGGCTGAGTGGTTTATGAGGAGATGTCATTTAAAGCAAAAGTTTACGGACGGACGGACGGACGACGGACGGACGCCGGACGGAAAGTGATCACAAAAGCTCACCCTGTCACTTTGTGACAGGTGAGCTAAAAAACACACAAAGGAACAGAAGACCACCTCCTCCCAGAAAGAAGGCTAATAACACCAAAGAACAGTACCAGAGGAGGATGATATCTTGGATAAGGCTTACCACGGGTCCTTAACTTCCAGTGACGTATCAGATTCTGATATGGATGAGGACAATTTCAATCAAATAACAGCAAATCATACAACTAATTTTGTTCAAAATGGTGGGTATGATGGCACACTTTTAAACACTTTTATGCCAAAATAGTCAGAGATATAGCAACCCATCAACCTAGACTGGCATGGCAAAACTTATGACAACAAGTTCTGCTTACTGAAATCCCAGATTGACATGCCTTGTGATACAATGCATTATGAATTGTGGTTAAAGGCTTGCACCAATCCAACTCCTTTTGTGCAGTCAAATCCCCGGCCCTTTCGTTCAGAGCCATTCCCATCAAATAGAAGCTGTAACAAATCAAAACTGTCCCAGTCCCTGTCGAAGATTTGGCCAAGTGTGTGCTTGCCATTCAATAGATAAGAATGCAGGTCATCAAACTGCAAATTACCCCATTTTTGTAATTTCTGTAAAGGTACCCACTATGCCGTTTTTCCCTGCCAGGTATGTCGAACAATTACATGTTACACTTATGGCTTTATAAAGCCAAAATAACAATCTGATAATATGCTCAATACTAGATTAAATTGAGTTTTTAGTGATTGTTGCAGTTAATATAAAACTGTGCACATGGTCCAAATTTCATAGCTGTATTAAAGGACAAGACAAGAGCGATCAGTAATCACATGTGTCGCCTCATGATGGCCAATTTCATGTTGGGACAAATTTTGTGACAGACGGACAGACAGACAGACGGACAGTGCACAACTAGACTTTGTACTGATCATTCCTGTAAAGTTTGGATAAAGTTGCACCAGTAGTTTATGAGGAGTAGTTCGGACAAGCTTTTGCGTATCTGGCAACACACAGAAAAAAACTCCTTTTTATCAAAGGGCCATAACTCGGCAAAAAATCATTCAACCGGAAAACACGTGCAATATGCGCAAGGACTTGAGCTACAGATCAATTCTGTAAAGTTTCATTGAAATTGCATAAGTGGTATAAGAGAAGTAGTCTGGACAAACTTTAAAAATAAAAATTATTAAAGGGCCTTAACTCAAACAAAAATCATTGAACTGGAAAATGCTGACAATATGCACAACAAGACTTGGTACTGATCATTCCTGTAAAGTTTGGATGAAATTGCACCAGTAGTTTATGAGGAGTAGTCCGGACAAGCTTTTGTGTATCTGGCAACACACAGAAAAAGAAACCTTTTTATCAAAGGGCCATAACTCGGCCAAAAATCATTCAACCGGAAAACCCGTGCAATATGCGCAAGGACTTGAGCTACAGATCATTCCTGTAAAGTTTCATTGAAATTGCATGAGTGGTATAAGAGAAGTAGTCCGGACAAACTTTAAAATTAAAAATTATTAAAGGGCCATAACTCTGACAAAAATCATTGAACCGGAAAATCCTGACAATATGCACAACTAGACTTGGTACTGATCATTCCTGTAAAGTTTGGATGAAATTGCACCAGTAGTTTATGAGGAGTAGTCCGGACAAGTTTTGTGACGGACGGACGGACAGACGGACAGACAGACAGACAGACAGACGGACAGACGGACAGACGGACAGACAGACGACGGAGAAGTGATCCCTATATGTCGCCACTACTCCGTAGAGGCGACACAAAAATAAGTCATTTCATCAAATTATCTTGGTCAGCTGATATCAGTTAAAAAGTAGGTCACTTTATCAAAATCTAGGTCAGCTGACATTAAAGTTTAATTTTACATCTTAAACTGTGCTCATTGCTATAGGATCAAATAACAGAATTTTATTAATTTGACCCTGAAGGTCAAGGACAATGGACAAGGACAATGGACGGACGAAAAGCTATCACAAAAGCTCACCCTGTCACTTTGTGACAGGTGAGCTAAACAGTTGCATCAGCTGACCCTGAGGTCTCTAGTTATCATGTTGGCATTATTGCATTACAAAAGAAAAAGTATAAATAAAGTTGGAGCCATTTTATGTTTTGTTTGCATTTTTTATGTGTATGAAGATGACAATGATATTTCCCATGACGATATGTATCGTATTCGTCAGAAATATAGGTTTTTTTTAGACCGCTTCTAGGTTGCACGTTTCCTAGTGTTTTTTCTTGAGCAACAAAAAAAGGCAATTTTATTGAACTGAATTCCTAGAGGATACTTTAAAATTGGTAAGATAAGAGGCCAATCTTATTTGTATGTCTATAGGGCAATTTTTGACTTAAAACGCTTTGTAAATCTTAGGTGGCCATACCCCTTCCACTAATTTGTATCGTGTAAATTATTAATGTTTGTAAAAAAAATTCTAGCAGAACAATTCAGCAAAGTACATGTTATAATTTTTTTACTGTTAATCTGCATCAGTGCATGTTTTGAGTAGTATAATTTGTTGTTGTCACAGGCAAAAGAACTTCATGCATGCGGGCTAGAATCTACAAACACAAGGCTAATTAACTTAAAGCATGGAAAAAGGTAATATTCCTGATAAAACAAAATTCCAATATAGCCAATTTTCAATTTTAAAGGATAGTTCCCATAGTTCAGTTCTAAGCCAGCTATCGTGTTAAATTAAAGGAATCTACAAGAAAGGCAGAATTGTTGGCACGTGAGGCGGCACTTCAGAAACAAAATGACATTGAAGCTAAAAGGCTTAGATTAAAGCTAGCAGAGGACAGATTAAAATTAAAACCAAGTTGAAGATTTTTGATGCTAAATCTAATGGAGGATTTAGAAAAAGAGTATTATTGGAAAATCAGTGAGAGATCATTTTTTACTGAAACAGCTGTTCTATTCCAGAACAGTGATCAGAGACTAAAAATATAACAATGTCTTGAAAACTTAATAAATCAAAAGTAGAAATAGAAAAATTTACAGGAAACCCTATGGATTATACAACTTATTCAGCAATTTGATTCTAAAGTTAGCAAAAAATAACAATTCTTAAGATGAAAAAATAACTTATTTATTACAAGTGGGTATTCGCATTTAGATGCTGAATTGGATTTGGTGCAGCAAGGAAGGAATTCAAGGAAAGATATGGGGATTTTGATGTTGTGGCAAATACCCATGTCAGGAAAGCATTAGAATGGCCAATTGTGAAAAGCGGGGACCCAAAGGCTTTGGACATTCACAACATTTTTCTAGGCTGACAAATGAATGACAAAGCTGACAAATTAATGACAAAGCTGACTAATTAATAACAAGGCTGACAAATGAATTAAAAGACTGACAAATGAATGTCTGGGCTGACAAATCAATGACAAGGCTGACAAACAACACCATATCAATATTCCTCCACTATTAGTGGTGGAGAAAAAAATTTAACTAATCATCTACCCTAAACATAAATAATCTGCACTAATTAATCAATGATCCCTTTCAAACCTGTCTCGTTTTCTTCACATTTCTTCAATAAGTTTCTTCCGTCTCGGCTTCACATTTCCACCCCATTGCTGTTCTAATTCTCTCTTCGACTGGTTCACAGATTCAAGTTCAACTGACAACAATGAATTAACAATCTGTAACTCTGAAATCATTCCATGAAGAGCCATCCCATAAGTCTGTGCCCAGCTCAAATAAAATTCACATTTCTTGAGAACTTGAAAATACGTAGATTTCAATCTATTCAGTGTTTCCTTTACAGATGTTTTCCCACCAAGTTTTGTCTTTTTGCACATACTTTTATATGCCTTCTTGAAAATTTGACATATTTCTGATAAAGCTGCCATCAAATATTTCAATGGTTCATTTTCCCCAATACCAGTTATGATGATTTCAATATCCTTTAATATTGATATATTAAACTCTGGACTTGAGTCAAAACTTTGTTGTTTATTTGTAAGCTTTCTCATGCAGAATTGCACAGCTTCATCAACTGACCCACATGTGTGACCTTCACCTAAAACATCAGACAATTCCAAGATGTCTGCTGCACACTCTGTTGCCATGGTAACCTGCTCTCCATTATGGAGTCTGCACACATAGCAATACACAAACAACACATTTATTACATTGTACTTCACATCTGCTGAGGGTTTGGATTTTAATATGTTTGAAATATTTGGAATTTCTTGACAAATATTTGGCACAGCACTGAGTGCCCTTGACTTTGCACTTGATGAACTTCCTTCAACTTCAGTAACTAAAGAGGCTGTTGCTATCCACCAGGGTGTCCAAATCTCTACAAGATTTCCAAGGCGACCATCTCCCACCATAATATCAAATTCTTTCTTTTCCTACACAAAAAGATAGGTAGCTATTAATATCAGAGTTTAAACTAGCCATTTATATTTATAGTTTGATTTAAAGAACTGATATGTAAAAAACAACATAAAATAACAGGTACATGTATCTTCAATAAGGGTTTATCAAAAAGGATGAAGATATCTAAAATGTCATTTTCATTTTTTCTACATGCATAAAAATGCCTATGAAAATCAAATCAATTCTAATTTACATTCTTTAGTGTTACTGGTTTTAATGCAGATTTTAACACATTTTTTGGTCATATCTTGATGGTCAATTAGTTAAAAAATTAATAACAGAAGAAGTCAGTTAAAGTCCTTTTCTTAGATGGAATCAAATCACAAGGAGTCACCTTCAGTATATACCAGCACTTCAGCATTGTAAAATCACCATATAATAACATTTTCAAGCATGACTGGTAGTAAAAGCTCAAACTTTAAACATAGCAAGATGTGTTTTTTTCCTTATCTTACGAAACAAAGTTGACACAGATAAACATTTAATTTAAAGGTAACACTTATATCACAATACTCATTTTTTTAAATAAATTCCAGGGTCGTTTTTTTAGCAGTAGTTTTGATAAAATTTCACATATTCATCAGTCTTCACGAAAAACTTTAAAAAGCACAGGACAATCGGGCCAGTAAAATATCAAATCTTACTGGACCTGGTGATTTTTAGCCGGACCAAATACATAGATAGGTAATAAAATTGATGGGAACAGGAAAACACTTTATCATGCTTCCCTTGTAATTTTGAAAGAAGCATAAAACGTCTTGTATTCTGGGCCATATGTTGACAGCTTTGAAAAATCTTTAAGGACCAAATGTTTAGGCAAAATTGACTAGACTGAACATGAACAACGCAATTTGCTTCAAACAAATCACGTTCACACAAAATATTTACTTAACTCAATAATCACAAAATCATAGCTAAATAATGACCATAATAAACAATTGTTTAATTTCCGTAACTGTACGGTGCGGTACAGAAAATATTCAAGAAAAAAATTGGCGGCCTCCATTACTCAATACAATTTAGACATCTCTCGCTGTGTTTTGAACATTTAGGACAGAATTGATGGGTCTCATTTGCAAAAAAGGCAAAAAGATCAATCTATTAGAGAACCCTGCTTCATTATTTTGATGAATTTTTCTTATAATATTTTTTCATGACAAAAAATCTACTGGTCCGTTGGACCACCAACCTTGCAATAATCACCTGACCGATGCTAAGTTTAGTGGCCTCGGGCCTCGGACTGGCGTTTATTTCGAAGACTGATTCATGGGACTGTAAATTATCATAGCTAAAATATAGAAATTCACATATGGGGTAGTTGCATAAAACATGAAAAAAGCAGCTTACACATAACAGACAGGAAACTAATGGTACTCCAAAGCACCAGAAATATTATAGTTTGTTTTGTTTATGACACACCAAGCGGTATAGGTCATATGGTGTCAGAACAGGAAAGATGGTTTTGGCTAACCTAAGTCTAGATGTTACATTTACAATCTTCAAAGCAACACCAGGGGTCAAAATCACCCCACATGGAGATAAACGAGGCATAGACTCGCATTACTTGAACCCACAGTCGCCTCTAATGATCACTTAGAGATAAACAGTGGCTACAATTCTTATACTTTAACTACTAAAGGCAACCACTCAGCCAAAATGAATGAAAATTGGCCAAGGTGTGGAAAAGGGGTAAAAGACAAATCATTAATACTCCAATAAATGAATCTTGTATTACATCAAACAGACAACCTCTATTAGTATTACTAAGACTGTTTATCAAATCAAAAGCTCTTATTATAGGAAAGAAAGCAAATCACCTGATCTGTGAGACGATTCCAAACTTCCCTAGTATCTTTATCAAGGTCAAGGTCATGAAGTCTTTCATGAAGGTCATCTTCAGGTTCATCAAGGTCATTCAAATCTGGGTCAGTCTCTGCTCTTTTTAACATGTCAAGGACTTTTTGTTTGTCTTCAGCATCAGCAGAGAAGTCCTTTAAACCTGAGAAGTAAAATTTAAAAAAAAAAAAAAAACATGATAATCAAAATTGCAAATAATTAAGAACGATTTCAATCCAATTTTTAGAAATTTTATGAAATAAGACAATAAAAAGTTTTAAAGTGTTTAATATTCCTGTATAAATCTATGTAAAATAAATGAGCCCTCTGGAAGGGGCAAACATGACCATGACATGATGCTACATGTACATGTAAATTATCGTACCTCTCCACCTTACAGAGTTCAGGAAAAAGATTTTTTAAAGGCTTCATAATTATACGACTGTTCTTTTTACTTCTTGTAACCTACTTCAAAGGTTTCAGAACCATAAATATAAAGGGCAACATAAGGATTATTCCTGTGAACCCAAGTATAAATTTATGTTTTAGTTAGCAAGAGTTGTTTAACAACATTGTGAATAAATAACATACAAATGTCCAGTCATTGAATTTAGGATTTTGAAATTACTGGCCCGAATTCAAGTTTTGAATTAATTCTACTATATATTAAACTAAATTTTCTTAAATTTAGTTACAGTGCCCCGAACTAATTTTTTATGGCCTTGGGCCACCGGGCCATTGCTAAAGCCATCTCTGAAAAATTATATGTTAGGATGATGTAGTTCTCAGGTGAGCTAAAAAAGCACACCTTAAAACCCAGTAATTAACACTTTTGAAAATCTCAAACCAATGAAATAACTCCATACAAAAATAAAGGGGAACAATCTGCTGCAGTATTTTGGATTTTTAAAAATTTGACATATGGGGAAAAAGGTGCGTTATAGTTTCATATGATGATTGAACAGTTATTACAAATAATAACAAGCAATTATCATAGTATTGCAAGCAATCCATAAGTCCCCTACCGGTTAGAACCCCAGCAACATTCTGATGGGCCACTGGCCATTCAATTTTACCAGTGAATGAATGACATGAATGAACTTAAATCTTCTGAGTTCTAAGTTTGTCTATATCACAGTAATGTGTTAAGTTTCCCTACCTAGTAAGGAAATTATGTTTAACCAACCTTGTCATATTATTACGATGTGGGATTTTAAAGTAAATCCTATAAGGAATGAAGAAGTTTGAGTAAAAAATACCAATTTCTCGAAAAAAATCTAAGTTCAAGGAGGACAGAATTCTGGAAATAGTCTTGCTAGAGTATTTAACCTTCTCAAAAATGTTGAGTGATAATAAGAAACATATATATGAAGTTTGAAGTAGATACATTAGGAAATAAAGAAGTTACTTAAAAAAGACAACATTTTTTTCCCCATAAAAATTCTAAGTTCAAGGGAGGTAATTCTGATAATTTTTGTGCTAGAGTTGTAAACCTTGTCACATATGATGTGGTTGATGACCAGAAACTGATATTTAAAGTTTGAAGTAAACACCTTAAGAAATAAAGAACTTATAGTGAAAAAGCTGAAAAATTTAAATCAGAATTCTTGAAATTCAGGCTATTTGTTGCCATAGCAACCAGAATTTTCAACATAGGAAGAAAAGAAAAAGATGTGTATAATCTCCAGACTGCCATCTTCCCATATTTCAAGTTTCATAAAAATATTTTCAGTACTTTTTGAGTTATCACTGGATCCAGTTTATGTATTAAATTTGCCATATTTTCAGTCTATTTGTTGCCCTAGCAACCAGAATTTTCAACATAGGAAGAAAAGAAAAAGATGTGCATAATCTCCAGACTACCATCTACCCATATGTCCAGTTTCATAAAAATATTTTCAGTACTTTTTGAGTTATCACTGGATCCAGTTTATGTGTTAAATTTGCCATATTTTCAGACTATTTGTTACCATAGCAACCAGAATTTTCAACATAGGAAGAAAAGAAAAAGATGTGCATAATCTCAAGACTGCCATCTATCCATATATCAAGTTTCATAAAAAAATTTAAGTACTTCTTGAGTTATCACTGGATCCAGTTTATGTGTTAAATTTGCCATATTTTCAGACTATTTGTTGCCATAGCAACCAGAATTTTCAACATAGGAAGAAAAGAAAAAGACGTGCATAATCTCCATACTGCCATCTATCCATATATCAAGTTTCATAAAAATATTTATAGTACTTTTTGCGTTATCCCGGGATCCAGTTTTGTGGACGGATGGACTGACAGACAGACAGATGGAGGGTAAACCTAAAGTCCCCTCCGGTTAAACCGGTAGGGGACTAATTAAATTTTATCATATTTAAATGCTCAATATAAAAAATTATTCATTTATTATGAATTTAGTGTCCTTTTACTTGTGAGAGTTGTACCAAAACAGTGCAATCAGATCTCTGTCGAGTGTCATTTGTTGGCAGTTTGAGCTTGAATATTACTTGCTATGTATAATCAGCAAAGGTCAGTCAGTGTTGCTTCCTTAAAGAGTAATCATTCTAAGATTACACCAACATTGTTAAGAACGGTGAAGAGTTGATAAATATATACGCTGAAAACTAAGATGCTAGTGACTTTATATATAAAATGAGAGTAATTTTAGTCATAACAATCATTTTTTTTCATATCAATTGATTTTTGTTAATACTTATGATGTTAGGATGATAATTAAATGTTTTGGGTTGTAGAGGGGGGGACGGGAGTATAGAGTAAGTCATGGCAAACACGCCGCACACCTGTGGGCCTGGGCAGGAACTTTTTATTTTTAGAGCTTCTTTTCCCTCAGAAATCTAAGTCTCTTTTTAGATTATGATTAAAGAAATTAGTTAAATTT